TGATGAGTGAATGACTCATGTAAGCGCACACGGATGGCTGCTGAAGGGCTCTCCACATGCAGAAACACAGCTGGATGAGGGCAGGTTGATATTGTCCTAAAGCAGGGAGCTGGTGACTGAGCTCATTCAGACGTGTGTTCATTCTGCCACAGGTGCTCGCGGCACATATGAACACTACTCACATCGAGGAGAAGTTTAGAAAAGTTTCTGAAACCACATGAAAGCTTAGTGTGAGGAACAGACCGAAACTTCAGTCAGTACTCGCTGACTGAAGTTCCCCTCCACCAAATAGTCTTAAAAGAACACTCCACTATTTTTTGAAAATAGGCTCATTTTCCAACTCCCCTAGAGTTAAACAGTTGAGTTTTACTGTTTTCGAATCCATTCAGCCGATCTCCGGGTCTGGCGGTAGCACTTTTAGCTGTAGCTTAGCATAGATCATTGAATCTGATTAGACCGTTAGCATCTCGCTCAAAAATGACCAAAGAGTTTCTATATTTTTCCTATTTAAAACTTGACTCTTCTGTAGTTACATCGTGTACTAAGACTGACGGAAAATGAAAAACTGCGATTTTCTAGGCCGATATGGCTAGGAACTATACTCTCATTCCGGCGTAATAATCAAGGAACTTTGCTGCCGTACCATGGGTGCAGCAGGCGCAATGATATTACGCAGCGCCTGAAAATAGTCCCCAGCACGCTCCCTGTGCAAGCAGGTGGTCACGATGGTTATGCTGACGGAAGTTAGCCTATTTTCAGGCGCTGCGTAATATCATGTTTTAAAATGGATTCGAAAATGGTAAAACTCAACTGTTTATCTCTAGGGGAGTTGGAAAATGAGCCTATTTTCAAAAATAGTGGAGTGTTCCTTTAAGCATATCCTAATTTACTTTTATATTTATGCACTTTATGCACCCTCAGACCTTCCAACATGTAGATACATTTTTTCTTCATCAAAACTTGGAGAAATGCATCACTTGCTCAGCAATGGATCCTCTGCAGTGAATGGGTGCCGTCAGAATGAGAGTCCAAACAGCTGATAAAAACATCACAGTAATCCACAAGTAATCCACACCACTCCAGCCCATCAGTTAACATCTGGAGAAGTGAAAAGCAGTGTGTTTCAAAGAAACAAATCCACCTTTAAGACGTTTTTAACTTTAAACCATTGTTTCTGGCTAAAACACGAGTACTCTAGTATACATAATATTATTTCCCCCAGTGAAAAACTCATCAGGAGAGAAATCTGCACAGATCAAGCACCGTTTACAAGCTAACACAGTTCTAAACAAATATTTGGGTGGATTTTGATGTGAGAGACAAAAGGAGATGGACTTTTTCCCTGCCTGGAGGAAACGTTATTGTGGATTATGGACTCGTATTTTAGCCAGAAGCAACGGTTTAAATTTAAAACTCCTTAATGATTAATTTGTTTCTTACAAACACGCAGCTTTTCACTTCACAAGACATTAACTGATGGACTGAAGTGGTGTGGATTATTGTGATTTTTGTTTGGACTCTGATTCTGACGGCACCCATTCACTGCAGAGGATCCATTGGTGAGCAAGTGATGGAATGCTACATTTCTCCAAATCTGATGAAGAAACAAACTCATCTACATCTTGGACAGCCTGAGGGTGAATGCAATTTTCAGCAAATTTCCATTTTTGGAGGAACTATTCCTTTAAATGACATGCATTCCCTATGAATCCTGGCATTGCAAGCGCCTTGCGCTACTGTTTGTTTTTGCTAATTTGTCATGTGAGGAGGAAATTGCATTTAACGAAAAAAAATGAAAGAAAGGCAAATGGATTTGACTCCTTTCAAAAACGAATAATAGTGAGGGCGTTACGCATGTGTATCAGTGACAAAACAGGATATATAGTGTCCACAATGAGTGACTATGACATGACAGCACAAACAACATCATTCTAATAGACTGATCATTATAGCACTGGAAAAACAAGAGTTTCATCCATCAGTCAATGTGCTGCGAACAAAGCCACTGCAAGTGTGAACAGACTGCTTGTGTGTGTGTGTGTGTTTCTCCCAGGAGGCTCACCACCACACTTTTCACACTGCCACCCCCGCAGCTAAAGATGCTCAGAGCCGCGGTGGTTTTTCTGTCTAACTACCACCAGGCAACAAACCTTTACTGTACATGCTAATAAAAGGACGACTTCCAAACCAAATGAATACATACTTAAAGAGATTTTAGAGACTGCTCTTATCCAAACTCTTAATTTAACAAGAAATCTGAATCATTGTAGAGATCGTCTATAAAAAAACAAGCAGATGGACCACCCAGAATCACTGTAGAGAAACTAAACCGACTATATGCCACCTGCATCAAACCAGCACACAGACTATAATCGCTGATTATACTTAATATATTCTGACAGTCATATATCAATGAAATATCACAACTTTACAGACTGATTTGAATCAAAATTCTATCATATTGTGATTCACAGGGTTTGGATGATATTATATAGGCTACATTATGGCTTCACATACGAAAATACATATATTATCAAAGTGCAAATTGGGCCCATTTTACCCTGAGAAGTCTCCGTAATCTGCAGTACAACAGAAAGGTTGTCAGATTAATCTGGAGAATCACAAGTTATAGTTTTAAAAGCTGATCTCTTACAAAAAGTACCACAGAGATACAGAACAATGATGGTATCAAGCCACGGTACGGAATGCATACGGTTTTTCTTCACCATGGTATTTATGGAGTTGCTTTAAAGAATAACATGATATTACCGTAGTAAACATCCAAAAAAGCATGGCGATACATTTAAGTGGCAGTACCATGTAAAACTGATGATATGCAATAGTCTATATTATATACAGTTCGATAGTAATATCATGGTACTGCCACGGTACACATCCAAGCTAAAAAGCATGGTAATACTTAAGTATTTTTGTTAGATATATAGGAAAACTGAATATCTATCTATCTACTGAAAGTACTGTGGTGATTCCTGCTACCATGGTACAGTAACAAAAGTACTTTTGCTTGTGGCTTCTTAGCAATCTATCCTCCTATTCCTAAAAATACTGTGGCAGTATCATGTGACACTGATGGTGTCAGATACAATAGTAATACTATGGTACTGAATGATGATCATATTTATATACAGTACCATAGTAATTTAAAGAACATCATGGTATTACCATGGTACACATCCAAACAAAAAGCACTTTTTGTTAGTCTTTTTATCCATCCAAATATCTACCCTGAATCCTGAAAGTACTGTGGTGAAAAAACATGGTATTGAATTATTACCAATATGGTACTCCAAAGAATACCAGATGAGACTAGATAGATTTTTCAAATATGACCATGAAACATGACATCTTAAAAATAAGGTATTACCATGGTACACGCCCAAATCATGGTAACATCACGATACTTTTTAATTAGTGTATGATGATGACAGAAAAAGAGTAACTTTACCTTCTCCGTTAATAGCTCTTCTCCTTTGCGTCCATCATCATCAGGTTGGTGAATTCAGGCGCGCTTTCAGGCGCACTGGGGCTTGTGATGATATGTTTGATCTGATGATATGAGGAGTTTGATATGATTAAATGATCCTCCGTGTTCACCACATTCTGATTCACGCGCAACTTTCCCCACGCGCCACAAACTCTTGTGTCACTGCGTGCGCAGTTGCAGGCTAAAAAAAATAATATCTTAGCCAAATCAAAATAAAATGGTAACTTACGAATATTTGGTACTAAAATATAAAATCAAATAGAATGGATCATTTCAATCATTCTTTGTCGCGGTTATCGGCTACAATAAAATTAACTGAGAATTATAGATAAAAGAAAGGAACACGAACATGCAAACACTGAAATATGTTACTGAGCTCATAAATGAGATATAAATCACGAGTGGAAGTGTTGAAGACACAGCCCACACGAGGCGCGCGCTGGAGCACTGCCTGCGTTTCACGTGATATCCGCTGGATGTCGCCAGAGGAGAGAGAGCGAGAGAGAGAGAGAGAGAGAGAGAGAGAGAGAACGCGCGCGAACGAGAACGAGGAGCGTTAGATGATAGACAGGTCGTCAGACGACAGACAGTTCTGCTAAAGATAACTAAAACATGTTATAACAATATAAAATGCTTGAAAAAGATTAGTATACTTTATTAACCCCATTCGGTCCACCGCAGGAACACGCTATCATATACTCTAATGGACATTTTGACATCCATCGTTTCCAAATGTAAGGTAGGCTAATTGAAATCTCTGTCACGTACCGTTATGGGTTTGCAGGGTTTGCAAATTAAATACAACAGGAAAGTTGTGTGAATAGTAGGCCTACCTGCTAAAGGTACACTGTAAAAAAGGATTGTGATTTTAACAGTAAATGACTGTAAAATGCTACAGTAAAAACCTGTTAACTGGTTAACAGTAAGTTTCCATACTATATTCGGTGAATAAATGTAATTACATTTAATGTGATTTCACAGTAAAATACTGTTAAAAATACGTTTTTTGGAAGTGAAAAAGAAAAAGTCATCAGCAAAACTCATTGTATAAAGCCAGTGTCCGGCTGTTCTGCAAGTAACAGTCTCTCTTGTTTAAGATTCAAGTCGGTCCATCTGTCATGTAAATGTTGTTACTGAAAAGTTGCATGATATATCACGAAGAATATTTTAATCAACACCGAGAATATTCACAAGACTACACAGAAAATGTAATCATATTTAACATTGAACCAAGAAAGAACTGAACAATCATGTGTATAAATACACAAGAGCAAAAAAACGAACTGAAAGAGACAACAGGTGACAACAATTATTAACTAAGGAAACAATAAGAGGGAGTAAATAAGGTTAAAAGGAAACTTAAGAAATGTGTAAATATGAACAGAAATACAGCTAAATTTAATTAAACAAAAAAATTAATTTAATTTTATTTATTCATTTTGTTTACATGTGTTACCCTTGAATTGGAAAGTTACAATTTTGTGTAAGAGCTCATTATTGGTTTCCTGAAGGTGTTTACTGACAATTGTCTTGTTTATTGCAGATTGGTTCAATAGATACTCTTCTTATAATGAGAAGAATGTTTGTCTATATGAGGATTTATTACACACATTAATTCTGACATGTTATTTCAGTGACAGAGGCTCAGCTGCAGTATTAATGTCATTAAGAAAAAAGAAGAGACTCTCTAGAATCTATACTGATTCATCAACACAGTTTCACTGATCCTTTATAAACAGTAAACCCAGGATAGAGCGGCTGAGTGAATGTGGTCTGGACTGTGTGGATGAGGCTCATTGTGTGAGAGACACTGTAGAAGGACAGAGTTCCTGCACTGTGATCCACATACACTCCTATTCTCCTGCTGATGGGCTTTACATGGAGATCAGTCTCTATGTTACTATGTCTGAATGAGTAACTGGAGGAAGAGCAGTACAAACTCCAGGACTGATCATTACGTCCAAACACACACTCAACACCTCCCTTCCTGTTGATGCTCTTATATGAGACTGATATATACACACGTCCACTCCACTCAATCTCACAGTAACAGCGTCCACACACACTCTCTCTACACAGCACCTGCTCCCAAACATCAAATCTGTCTGGATGATCAGGATACAGCTGCTCTGTGTCAGTGAATGTAATCACTCTGTTGCTCTCAGACAGCAGGAGGCGTTTATTCACTGTGTTTGGATCCAGAGTAAGCTGATGGGAATCTGATGGAGATAAAAACACATCAGAATCAGGAATTATGAATCTGTTTGACCATTTCATGCAGCTGAACTCTTCATGTTCAGTGTATCATCAGATTACCAGGTATCCTAAGCAAATCATCATTTACTGCATCAATTAAAACTCTTCTGTCATGTTTTCTTTAACCTTGTACAGGCAGAACAAGAACACAACAAAGTGAGATTTACTGCTTGTTTTCTTTCTGACTTACATTGTAAGAAGTCGGTCCTGATCCTGGGAACAATGTTGGTTAATGTGACTGTGGAAATCAAGACATGAACAGTGTGATTCGCATGGCAAGAGAAAATGATCCCTGCATCCATTCTAATACGATGTTCTACATGAATATCTCATTTATGAAAGCACATGATGAGATCTTTTTGAGCTTGTCTTTGTAAAAATTCTCCAACAGAGAAAAGATATTTTGTCTCTACTGTTTACGGAGCCCAAACCATGAATGTATGCATGAACTGATTAAAGATTTGATTTAATATGAGAGAATATTACTCCGATGTCATTCTGTCCATCATACAAATCCCATTGCTTCAGAAGACTTGGGTTAAACCACTGAAGTTGTATGGATTACTTTTATGCATGAGCAGTTGTATTATATGCACGGAGCCCTGCACATAACATGCACGAGAATAAAATAAAAATGACAAAAGAATAAAATAAAGCATATTTCATTATCTTTGGAACCTTGGAAGAGTTCAATTTGAGCAGATGATTTTAGCATCACTGTCATCGTCAGAACGTATCCCCAGTACATTCCGCATCTGGATCATATTCACAATCTCAACCATATCCTCAAAACTATCGTTTTCAGTGTCTTCAAAATCAATATTTTGATCGCTGGCAGATTATTCACCACATCCACCATCAAATGACAGTGACAATTATATTTGATTGCGTACAGTAACTGTAGAAAAAAGCCATTTAAGCCAGTTCAATCACTTCATCATTGTGTATCAAACATCGCCACCTTGAGGAATAAAGGTGAAGTGCACTTAATTGAGTCATCGGATATTTAATTATTGTTGCATAGGAAAAATATACTTACACTATTACATACCTTGTGTTGCTAGCGACTCTATACACTTTTTACAAATATTTAATTGGAAAACAGACACTCTCTTACATTTTTTTTCCTGGTTATATTGTTTATAATCAATAGAGTAGTGAATAACGTCCCTGGTCACTAAAGACCCAAGGTATTTAAGGAATAAAAGCAGGGGCCCTGTTCTTTCTTTTGATATATTGACTCTTTACAAACAACAAAATGTTCTAGGTGCCTAAAACTCGCAATTGTCTTTTATTATTATTATTATTATTATTATTATACGCTGTAAAAAATTATTGTGATTTTAACAGTAAAAGACTAAAAATGCTACAGTAAAAACCTGTTAACTGGTTAACAGTAAGTTTCCATACTATATTCGGTGAATAAATGTAATTACATTTAATGTAATTTCACAGTAAAATACTGTTAAAAATACGTTTTTTGGAAGTGAAAAAGAAAAAGTCATTTGTATAATTTACAGTGAAAAACCGTAAATTGACACTCCCAGAATTCCCTGGAAGGCCCTTCAAATTTGATGTTTTTTTGTTGAAATAACATGTCTCTTAGTTTTTCTTATCAGTTGTGTACCCTAGGGTTTAATCTTACATCTAATGTTGTTAAATTAATGTTTGTTGCATTATTTCAGTATCGTGTGTCACCGTGATGGGGTTTAGTGTTTGTGTGAGTGACACTGTGCACCTTCTATATAAAAGTATTGCCCTCCTCAGCTCATAGAAAAGCTGTTTTGTGATGAGCTTTGGTTCATCATGTGACTTTCTCATCACCACCAGTTTTTGGTGGTTATCAGTGCATTACAATGGTTCAAAACAGATATTAACACTTCAATATGTTGGTTTATTAACATTACATCAGTTAATGAAATACGGTATTTTATTGTGAATTTTACGGTGAATTTCTGGCAACCACAGCTGCCGGTATTTTACCGTAAATGTCACAGTTTTTTTTTTTACAGTGTATGGTTCAACTTGTAGTCACATAAATTCACTACTTTTATGGTCCTTCAATGCCACAGACCCCCAAGATCATGCCTAAAATGCAGTTACATATCAGCTATAGATTTTCATGTATAAAAATCTAATTTATACTGTGAAAAATATGTATTATAAATGTGCAAAATATTATTTGTACAATACTTTATAGTTATAGTTATTTCTTCTACTCAATATAGTACTATACTGTTATATGCATTGTTTATTTCTTTGTTAATCTATTTTTTATTAAGTAATTTTAATGAAAATATACAAATTAATAATAAAATAAACATTTAATATGTATTCTAATATTTATTATTATTATTTTGTAATTAATAATTTATTTAAAGTTTTCATAATTTATTTAATCTAATTTTTATTAAGTAGCCTATTTAATGTTTTTTTAGTATGCGTTTATTTTAATCTTAATTTTTATATTCATTTATTTTTTTCATTATTTACAGTGTTTCCTCTAAACTTTTCTATGGAATCCCATTACTTTGGGCCCCCTGGGGGTTCCCGTGCCCCGATTTGAAAACCGCTTTTCTATGGTACATTTTATCCTTTTATGAGCTTGACAATAACCCAAGGTCGTCACTTTTGTTGAATGGAAAAGAGCAGTTTGGTGTTCCTACAGAAAAAAATAAAGTCAAATGAGACATAAGAGTAGGGTTGGGTATCGGTTGGGTTTTTTATGATACCTGTGCCAAATCGATACTTTTAAAATGATACCGGTAACTAAACGGTGCCTGAACTGATACGTAAAAAAAAATAGTCGCAAAAGGTCGGTGGATGACATTAAAGAATGGCTTTTTTTATTGAAAATTTTTTTTTTTAAATTGCACAATATATTAAACATTTTAAGTATACGAAAATATACAAATATAAGTAAATACAAAATACAACAAATTTACATAAATTCACAATAAAACCTAAGCCACGTAAGCCAACTATAATAATTTAACACTAAATAACAGTTACAGTACTAATAACAGCAAATTAGTCCGTATTCTTGGCAGGAATGCATCAATACAGTTAACCCACGCTGCAATATATACCTTGGTTTTTAAACTGATTTGCAATTTAAAATTTGATTTTTAAAACAAATTAACAAAGAAAATCCTGTACACTGGAGAAAAACATGGATTATCATATGTCTACTTCAAAATTATTTTGAGAGAAGTATTATCATTCCTATTTTTACCCAAAATAAGATGGACTGGCCATTATTGAGCATTATATTGTCAACATAATGCCAGAGGGTGCCTTCATGCAGAAACTACACATATGCATCACAGAAGTAATAGAACTCATGACGCTTCAGGAAATCCCTAATTTGGACAAAGGCATCGCTGTCGCTGTAAATGAATAAGAAGAACATAGAAACGCTTTGAATACTGAAACATGAAGACAATAAACACTTGACTGTGACAATGTATAGTTTATCTGTGTTCTTCAAGCCATCTCTGGTATTTTCAGAATAATTAGGCCCAGATATATTTATAATACATTGCTAATCGACATTGCTAATCGACTTAATGCTTTTAAGTCTGAATGTGAAAACAACATGGACACTAACAAAGATGTGTTGGATTTGTATTATCAGAGCTTTCCGACTTGCTTTCACATGAATTTTCTCAGTCAGGATTATTATTTTTTAAAATTATTTTTAAAACCACATGACACCACATGAATGCAGAATAATTTAACTAGCGATCACATGTGGTTAAGATCCTTTATATGTCAGTTTCAGAGCACCAGAGGGCAAATATTTCAATGGACAGCTCAGGCATTTAAGTGGCACCGAAATGAGGCACCGAAATCTGCTTTCTGATTCGGTCCGGTACATACCGGTCATAAAGGTACCAGTACCATATTGGCACCGGGTTTTGGTACATTTTGGTTCATTCAACCATTAAACCTTTGTACATCTTAAGTGTCTCCTCCCCTTTTCAAAGAAATCTCTGCTTCAGCAGCAAGAGGTTAATAAAAGCAACACGCCACAATCTCCATGCGCTCCAGTGCTCTTATCCTTGGCCGTAATTAGTGCTGAGAGCTGACTGCTGCGCCTCTGGCGATCTCCATGCCTGAATAAGGTGGATGTTTCCCCTTCGCCGCAGAGCAGAGGACAACACCACAGTGACAGAAGGCAGAAAGAGATACATCTCTCTAACAACAGCCACGGGACAGTTTATGAAGGCATATAAGGACAGGGTCAATCCAGAACAGGCTAAGCTCAGGGAAAAAACGTGTTGTAACGACAGAGTTCAATTATAGTCTGCAGGCAAACTCTCGAGACGTGCCCTCACGAAGCAATCATCCGTGACCCAGGAACAAAATATGCTGCCCTGTCACTTTGGTCAAACTATGTTATTGGGTCAGATCTGTATCTCACACAGAATCAGTGCTCATTTGCATAATGTTAAACTCAGCTTGTCACAGTAATTAGACTTGTCACTACGCCACATTGTTAGAAATTTAACAAAACCTTACAGAATCCTAAATACTGCCACATAACAAATTAATAACTCAAACTACAACACTGTAAGTATATCCAACTGTACCCACAAACATACAGTACGCTCATGTAAAGTGATATATTATATAGCAAATCTCAATTGCTTGATTGTTTATATCTGTGCAAAATTTAATCTATATCAGCGCACAGCAATATATTTTAAGTTGGATATTTAGTACATCCAAATTTCACATACATACATACGCTCACATAAAGTGATATATACTATATAGCAAATCTAAACTTACGTTGTGTAATTGCTGTGCGAACACCCCTTTAAAAGTGACCCCAGGTCCCCTTCATGATATAATGACCCACTTATATTAAGGTAAAATTATGTAAGTAGTTAATTTTTGGTGGGAATAACTACAGCAACACAGGAACTGAGGCAAAAAAAGGGCTGAAAAAATGATCAGTTGCATTTACTTCCTGTTTTTTTTTTTCATTGGGTTTTTGGTGAAATGCCTGAAATAAGGTCTGTGCCAAACACAAGTTCATCATATTTTCACATTTTAGTCTACAACATATGATACATCAGTAATACCTCACTCTAGAGGTATTACATCAGTAATACCTCTATCTAAATGGGACTACAACATCACACAACCAGTAAAACTTGTCCACTTTCGAAGACTGTTTGTGTGTGTATAATTGTGTGTATAAACTACTGTAACTCGTACTTTTCAACTTTTTCGATGCTGGATCAGATTTTAAATAAAGATTGTAAGGGTTGTTGGAAGTTTATTTATAGCC